AGCAGTACTCGAACCTGAGCAGCATGGGGCGTGCTTGGCTTTAAGGTTTCCGGTGCGGAGCTCAAAGGGGGAAGTGGAGGGGGCATGTTGTGAAGCCCCTTCAGGCCAGCGGCCTAGCCTTGCCTTGCCACCATGCTCATGCTGTGTTTGAGCGGGCCCACTTCGAAAACTTTGAACCCCAACAGATGTGAATGAAGGCCGGATGGAAAGCGTGGACCCAATTGTCAAGACGCGGGGTGCGGAAATCCACAATTTCGGGCAAGAGCCCTAACCACCGCCTCATAATATGCGAATAGGTTACCACAGAGATCTGCTCGGGCTAACGAGGGACTTGCAAAACTTAAGTGTCGCACGACCTAGATCGGCCCAGGAACACGGGCCGCACTTCCTCCTCTCTGCCAGGGTTTTGGTCCGGGTGGTTCTCTCTGACCAAACCTCAGATGATGGAGTTTGCTTTTTGGCACGGTTTCGGGTGGAGGCAGACACCGTGCTTGAGACCATGGAATGTGGTCAGGGGCCACTCGTAGCAACATCACTCAAGTACGCCACAGTGCCAGAATTGTAGCACCTTCACTTCAAATCAGCAAGCGAATACGAAACTGGAGCTCCTTCAAAAAAGGATGCCTGCGACAACCCTCAATTGGAGTTCCTTTGTCGGGAGGGTACCGGTTTTTATGCTTAAGTGTGATCTCTGAAGACAAATATCACAGTAACAAGGCGTCCCTTAAAGCAAGGAATTGGGATGTGGGAGGTCTACTCAGAAAAAGAAGGCTGGAACAGAGAAAGGCGCGGAGGAGCAGCTTCCGCCGCCCTGCATGGTCTCCCGACTGGTCCTCGGGGTAGGGGCGCTTGATAAGGTTCGAGGTCAGTGCGAGGTGGCTGTCAATTTTTTTTATGGAGAAGGAGTCTCTTATGGGGGGGGGTTCCCAGAAGGAGCTGGTTTCAGCGGCTTTTTGTGGAAGGCTTTGCGGGGGCGGGGATCGTTTTGCCGCTGGGCGCCCTTGAAGGGTCCGGTGGTTGAGAGTTGGAGTGCACGATGGCACTATGGCTGGACAAACTCAACAGCGCTTGTTGGGAGGGGCCGGTTTTGCTGGGCCGCTGCGCAGCCAATTTAGCTGGTGATGGGCACAAAAGAAGAGAGCTGGGCTAGGCCATGTCACGATTTGCCTGTTAACATACGCATCGAACATGAACACAATATGAACAATACCAGCTCACACACCAGTTCCGAATCATGTCAACGCGTGAGTGAGCGATTTAGTAGCTGTGCTGCCAACCGGTCCCCAGGCTCATCCCATGCTCCCACCCATCTCTGCAGGGGATAATGGTTCCATGATTCGTCGGACGGCTTTTGCTGCGATGAAGTGCGCTGCCGATGCTGCCCCGCATTGTCGGTGTTTACGTCTGTTGAGGCACATAACAACAATGTCAATCAGATATGGAAGAGGGTTGGTGCAGTTGATTGAGCACTTTGCACAAAGCCAGCTTCCCCCGGGCAGGCCAAGGTACAGCCCGAATCAACTCTTTCTGAATGTCGCGAATGCGCAGCGTCGCAACCATGTCTCCAGAAACGTACCTCAATTTGCTTCACCAGTCTAACCGGCTCTCCACGACAGGGTTATCTAGTTTCTTGGACTTGACAATCCCGAGACTGGAACAGGCTAGCCCGAAAGAGGAGCTGTCTTTCACCCAAACGGCTCTGAACGCCCTGAACTCTGCAAGTACATCCAAGACTCTGAACTGCCTGGAACCCCCTTGCCTCCTGCCCTTCTTCTGAACTTCTCCATGCCCACCGCTTGCAAATCTGAAACGTTACTTTTCTAAATGCTTGAGGGTTTCGGCTTCGGGCGTTCACACCATCTCAGGTTATTGTTCATGCTTTCGGGTGTTTGGGCTTCTGGGGCAAAAACCAATAGCTTGAGGAGACCTACCTGTTCAGCATTCCAGGAAAGTTCGGATGGAGGCTGCTGAGATGCTTCCACGTCCATGGACCTACACCTTGTCCTAGATCAACGTGACATGCCCAAAACAGTCGACCCTTGCACTATCGACACTGCAGACCGGGGTCCACATGCAATTTGCGTGGGTTTGGTTTCGTGCTGGCAGCCTTGGTGCTCTAGTGGGTCGTAGACATCTCCGAGCACATCGTCCTGCGCATCGTCGTCCTGCATTGCTGACGAGTCGTCTGCACAAACGTTGAGAGTGTTGCCACGAAGGAAAGACACGCACCCGTGCTTTTTCGAACGCAGCGGCGCATGTTGCAACAAGTCCTAAGGAACAAAGGGCAGTTGCTTTGAGGGAATGAAGACGTAGGATTGGTGGAACCCACCATTTAAGAATTTAGGGGAAGGGCGAGCGAGGGTCCTCCCTCGCCGCGCAAATTGATCTTCATGCTTCTGTGTTTAAAAACCCCAGTACATCGGGCCTCCCAGAAATCATTGTCATCATCGTGGTAGTGGACGCCTGGGAAGTCTTCAGGCAGTGCATATGTTCCGTAAACAAGGGCTCAATGTACAAATGCCGGTTGTTCTTCGGGCCCCTTTTGGGAGCAACTTCTTTGTATGAGGGATCCCCAAGTGAAGGTACCTGACAAGAATGAAGCTCTGCCGAGGGCTCGGCCCACCTGCCGCGGATCTCGAGGCAGGTGGAAGTCACCTCATCTGACATCGATTTCCGGTGCCGAGCCTGCACGACTCCAAAGAAGCACTGCTCAGATCTGCGCTTAAGTGCCTGCTCGGTGCACCAGCCCCTATGCCGTGGCTCGGGTATTCGACTCAAGAACCGCTTTCTTCATCGTCATTGGTTCTTCACATCGTGGAAACCCCGAGCTGCGCAACCCAAACTCATATCCACTTGATTGTTTGGGTATCTGCTGGTTAGGCTGCCAGGATCTGCCAAGCAACCGCCCTCGAAGAGGTAGGTGGCCTCCCGAAGGATATCGGACGCACTGATGAGCAGTGCTTCGGCCTTCTCCCGGTGCGGATACCTCAAAAGGGCTTAAAGTGGCGACTTCCAAGGTTTCGTGGAGTTCGGGGCTTTGCTGGAGCTGTTTCGAGACCCAGAGGCGCTGCGACGACAGATCCTGTTTGGCAGATTAGGGCTATCTCTGCCGCAACCGTAAATAGAGAGTCTCACAAGTGACCTGCAAATGCACGGTTTGATGTGTGTTGCAAGCCTTGGCCTTCTTCGACTGGTGTTCAGAAAAGGAAAAGGCAGCGCAGCCTCTACGTGCATCGCAGCCTACGGGTCCCAGGAACCAGCACCTGAAACGACCCCGGGCATGAGAATTGAATCGGCGACTTCGCTGCGCCATGCCCAAGGTGAAATGGCTGCCGAGCTTCTGGATTTGGATGTTATGGTCTATGGAGTTGATGGCAACCTTAGTCGCAGGTGTCCGAAGCAGTCGTAGCCAGCCATTCAGCTGAAGTTGTGAGTCTATCGTCCTACGGCGTAGCACTTCGTGCGCCTTAGATGAAAGGGTAGCGTGCCTGCGCTGGCACGTTCCGGAAAAGACATTTCTCTTGCCGTGCTAACCCTGGTAATGAAAAGCCTCTCCAAGATGACTTCTGAGTAGGCCCTCAACAGATGTGTGCGCAACACCTGCCTCAAAACCTGCACTTCGAGGCTCCATCACCAGATATTCAGCTAGAAACGACAAGCGAATCTCGAGCCCACAGATGCTAAGCTCAAGGCATCCAGCCCTTAGCTCGTGGGAAGAGCTGCATTTTGGAGTTCAGGGCCTTACTTTAAAAGCTGGAAAGAACAACTTCAGGTCGCAATGTGGTGTAAGAGTGCAATGAATGTACTGACGTAAGGGGACAACTGTAGACTGTAGACTGTAGACTGTAGACTGTAGACTGTAGACCTTTTTTGGCTTTACGGAAGGACGCCCAGGTGGAGGGCTTTTGGCGCTGTTGCCAAGCTTGAAGGGTTGGGAGCCTTGAGCCGCAACTTTTGTTTGGGTGGTCTTGGGCCTTGGGCAGCTTCGTGCCATGCCTCTTACCGTTGCAATTTCGCCCAATTGAAAGATCAGATCCCAATCCCCCCATCTCTTGAAGTACTCAAGCGTGACGGCTTCCGCCGTCATCTTTCAATAGTTGTATATAACTGCGGAAAAGATTCCACGGGCCACGTGCTCAAGGGATGCGCTGGCGACCTGGGCTTTGTCACCTTGGTTCAGTCTTGGGACTAAGAGGAGCATGCTGATGTTGAGGACAGAGCTCGCAAGGGAAAGACAGAAAGAGAGAGAGGGAGAGAGAAATGGGAGAGAGAAAGAAAGAAATCAAATAAGATAAGGAAAGAAAAGAAACGAAAGAAAGAGCGAGGGAGAAAGAGAGAGAGAGAGAAGGAGAGAGAGAGAGAGAAGGAGAGAGTGAGTGAGTGAGCGAGCGAGTGAGTGAGGGAGGAGAGAACGACCGACAGGCGGATGCAGACAGCCAGACAGAGACTGACATGATGAGGAAACCAAAGGGCGTGCATGCACACACCCACACACCCACAGGCCCACCCGCACACGCGAGCATATATACACACCCACATGCACCCACATGCACCCACATGCACCCACACGCACCCTCGCACCCACACACCCACGCAACAGACATGCAGCTGCACCTTTTGCCGCAGCTCAAGAACTCATCCCATGCTTATTTGTGAGGGATAGACAGGACAGACACGAACTGCAGCAGAGGCAATGACATGGGAAAACGCTTCCTCTGACAAATCCTCACAGCCTCTCTTGACCCGAACCTTACAAAGCACATGGTTCAAGACTGCGTGCTCCGTAGCAAATAGGCCAAAGAACAGAAGTGCTCCGGAGTGGAGGAGATCGGCTCCTAAGCTGGTCATGTGGGTGAGACGGGTGAGAGAGCCCTTCCTGCTTGGCGGCGGGTCAGCGTGTGTACTGCAAACTGTGCACAATGCTCTCTCTGGAAACGTGGAACCGCAAACGAACGGGACGTCCAAGCCAGAAGGGGAATTCCAAAGCCCATGCCCAAACCCTAGCTGCAAAGGGTGTCAGCCACAATGAAGACCAGGTCAATGAGACCGGTAAAACCTCGGAGCCGTGTTGGGCTTGTCGCCTTTTCGGTCGTGCAGGTACTCAGGGTCAGTTGTTTTACGTCCGAAGACCCTACACAGAGTGCGAGAGGAGCTTGGATATCCTGTGATTCTCACTTTGCGTCGGGTCATTTGTGGTCATCAAATCCCTACCTACCGAACACCATAGCCAGCAACTCAGTGCCTAGAGAGAGCCCTTGAAAGCTGAACTCTTCCTGAAACCCTGCGCTGTTGCCTGACGCAGGCCAGTATTCTTGGCTGGTCCTCGACGCCGCCTGTGCAAGCACCAAGGTCTCACTTAAGACTCTTAAGACTATTTGGCAAGGGGGGGGGGGTCAACGGCCGGTCCACCGGCCTAGGATGATGCACAACCGCCTTGAATCTATTCGACTGAGTCAGGCTCGACATGGCTACTATTTGGTTTAAAGTCCACTTACTCTCTGACTCTACTTGCTTGTAGCGGTCGTCCAGCCTGCATGCAACAATACAAGCCTACAATGGCCTACAGTCATCCTGCGAGCTCCCTTCCTCCTCGTGCCCCACCGAGTTCATGACACCTCCAGACGACGCCAGGCTCGTCGCCAGGCGCCATCCAGCAGCGCAGCTCCCGCGTCCTTCGGACGACTCACGTGGCTTCACTTGCGGCTGTGAAAGGCTTGGCGTGGGTAGGCCTCGGTGAAAGACGCGGGGTTTTTGTTCCGCTACCAGGCTTCGATTACCAGGAGATCTTGGCTGGCTTCTGCAGGGGCTGGAGTAGCTTCTGGGTGGGGCTTCGGCTTCGCTGACCAGTGCCCCTTTGTGACCAAGCTGGGAGAGCTGGCAGGGAAGCGTGCAAAATGCGACATAGACCGTCATCGACGCTGGGAGTGTCCCAATGCCTTTGCTTGCCAAGCAAATGTTCAGCTGCTCTTCTCTGTTTGCTGTCAGCTGTCAATCCGGGGGAACACGCAACGCAAAGGTCTTGGTCTCAACTCAGACATCGCAACATGATCTTTGATCATGAACTCACTCCATACATTGGGCTTCTCGCAGGCCCCTGCGATCTTTAAAAACTCGTACTGGAACATTCCAGTTCTGGAAAGTCCAAGATCCAACGGGTTGCAGTCAAAGCTCGTGGTGCGTCAACTCATGAGCAGCTCCATGCAGACACTAAGTCACTGTTAAACCAAGGCCATCTCAGATGGGACAATCAAATTGAAAGGGAAATATTAATGTTCACGTCCAGCTTTGCTTTGAGTTCTTGGGTGTTCTGGTGCAATGCCAGAATCCCTTGGAAACCCTGCTCAGCATTCTTCGCCTGCATCGAGCCTGATGCCAATAATGTCGAGGTGCTTGGGGAGCCGAAGATTGAGAAGATAAGCGTCTGCTGCGGCCACACCTGGAAACACATGTCGGATAGGTCTGCCTGGGCCCAGCTTGAGAGCAGCATGCACGAGACAGATGTTTGTGGGTGGCCCAGGACCTCCACGGAAAGCCTCAATGGAGACTCGGATGAAGGTGAGAAAACATGACCCGCATCGTCAATCACAGCGATCTCGGCCAAACATAACTCGAAGCCTTCCTCTTCAAACTCTGGCCAAAGACTTGCCGCAGTTGCCTTCTTCTGTGGTCTGAAGCGCATAGCCATAGATCTAAAACTCACCTTGCTGGCCGGGCCTAAGAAGATTCTGATCGCCAGATCCGCTCCGACCGTTGTCAACCATTTCGTGCCATCTGCCGCGCTAACACTTGCCAGGAAGATACAGATGACGAGGGCAGAAAGCAGAAGATAGCCGATTGCAAAGCTCCAGAAGTACTCGTTTTCCCAGCCCTGGATTACGCCCAAGAGCTGCGCAGGGCCTCGCGCCAAAAGCGTCGCGCCAATTGCAACGACGGTGCTGCTGACTATGAGCGTCAAGAGCTCGCTTTTCAGGTCGCAGTCGATGTCCTGGCCTGGGGCGAGCGCCGTTGAGCTGTAGAAAAGCGCCGAGAAGGCCCAAGCACTGTAGATCGTGACAAGGAGTAGGCTCAATCTGCGGCAACTGGTGTTTTTGCTGGAAAAGCTTAAGAAGGTCATCCAGGGGCACGTGGCCCAAAACTGGACACCGAACTGCTGCAGGGGGTTCATCCTCTCGAATCGATGCAAAGCGGCCACCACCTGTAGGTTGATCTCTAAACATGCCTCCCACCCTTTTTGTCGATGCATGTTACGTATATGTTTGTTTACAAGCATAAAAAACATATACTACTATATATATATAGCGTCTATGTATATGTATGTATATATATATATACATACACATACATACATACGTACATACATACATACTTGTACATATGTACAAATATATGCTCCCCCCCCCCCCCCCATGCGCCCACGCTTCAGCATGGTTTCCAGATAGAAATACTACGTTCCGCCATGCGCGGTGGTTTTTAAATGGGGGAGGGACTCCCAGAAAAACTCCAGCAGAAGTGACCTGAACAATTTGCTCGAGATTTTTGGATTGCATGCTATGAATTTACATAGAAATCCTATGCATGTGAATAGCGTTCCTATCAAATTTAATGAGGTTCATAGGATTCATTGTGTTTTAATAGGAAATTTATGAAAATGAAAAGGAAACCCTTTAACATGAATGAGAACCCTTAATTCTATTAAATTCTATGGGAACCCTATTCAAAATGACAGAGTCCTATTTAAAATTGATAGGAATCATATTACATGTGTTTGTAGGAGCCTTATTACAATAATTAGGCAAACTATGAAAATTTATTGGAATCTTATAAACAAAAAAATAGGAATCCTCTATTTAAATCCATAGGAACCCAAAAAAATCGGACTGTAAAAAAAGCTAATAGGAAGCCTATTAACATGAATAGGAACCCGATGTGAGCCTTCTCCGCCGGACCCCTTTTTTTTGCCTCAACTGGGTCCCCCCCCCTCGGAAACCGGGGTCCGCAAGCGGACGGTTCGCCAGGACCAGAGCCACCCCTATCCCCTACCCCAACCCCTATCCCCCCTACCCCCCCCTACCCCCCCCCCCCTACCCCCCCCCCCCCTGCCTCTCCTCAGAATACCGGTGAGCGGGTTTTCGAGGCTCAACTGGTGTGAGCGAAGAGTCTAAGCTTGAACCTAAACTCTATTCCTTAAACCTTAAGCACTCAACCCTCAAACCTTCAACCCTCCCCCCCCCCCCCCCCCCCTCCCCCCTTCCCCTCGCCCCCATTCCCCCCCCCACCCTACCCCCTCTGAGGGGCCTGGCTCAAGCCTACGATCAATCCGAGCCGAACCGTCTCTTGAACCCTAAACCCAACAAAAACCCTAAACCCCAAAGCGTGAACCTTGAGCTCTAAGCCCTCAATCCTAAACTAACCCTCAACCCTAAACCCCAAACCCTAAACCATAAACTCGGAACCCTAAACCCTAAACCCAACTCTTATTGCTTGGGTCCAGCGACTTGGGCGCTGCGGAATCACTATGCTCACGCGGATGCGCTGGGCCGGGCCGAGGCGGGTCGCGTAGCGTTAAAATTAAAACAATTAGGAACCCTATGAAACTTTATTGGCATCCTATGAAAAGAAGTATGAATCTTTCATTGAATTCATAGGAATCCTATCAAATTGTTTTCGGATAACAGCAAATAGGAAGCCGATTAGAATGAACCTTAACAAATCAAAAAGAACGCGGTGGTAATTCATAGGAATCTTACTAAAATGAGAAGGATTCTTATTAAGATTAGTAGGAACTAATAGGGCTCCGATGAACAAAATAAGATTCCCTTAACAAGAATTAATAGGAATCCTACTAAATGAATATGAGCCTAAACCAATACGAATCCCTTTCAAACGAATGAGATCCCTATTAAAATTAATACGAATCCCATTAGCATGAATAAGGATCCTAAAACTGATAGGAATCTTATTACATTAGTAGGAGCCTTATTAGAATACTTAGGAACCCTATGAAACTTCATTGGAATCCTACAAAAAAATATTGAAGTCATAGGAATCCTGCCAATATTTTTCGGAACCGATAAAAGTTAATAGGAAGCCTATTAAAATGAATAGGAACCCTTTCGAAATTGAAAAGAACCGGCTATAATTCATAGGAATCCTGTTAAAATGACAAGGAATCTTACTAAAATGAATAGGAAAGAATAGGGCTCCTGTATAAATGATGTGAATCCGCTGAAAAGATTGGTTTTTTTGGGACAGTACGGCATTTTTGCAGTCCCAGGCCTCCAAAGTGCTGTACTGTCCCAAAAGAACCAATCTTTTTAGAGCAAAAAGTGCAAAAATGCTGTACTGTCACAAAAAAAACCAAAAAAAACCAGAGTTTGGAGAGCTTGGGCTCCTCCAGGGCGTGGAGGTCTCCAAACTTTGTTTTTTTTGTTTTTTTGGGACAGTACAGCATTTTTGTTCGTTTTTGCTTAAAAACATTGTTTTTTTTGGACAGTACAGCGTTTTTGCTCTTTTGGGCCTAAAAACATTGGTGCAGCAGAGCGCTTTTGCGCTCGCTGCCCTAGGAGGCTTCGAAATCCTAAGCCTCTAAACCCTACCATGGCACCTGAGAGGAAAAAGTGTGGGCATATGGGGGGGGGGGGGGGGGGGGTACCAAATATATATATATATATATATGTATATGTATATGTATATATGTCTGTATGTACATATGTACATATGTACATATGTACATATGTACATATGTACATATGTACATATGTACATATGTACATATGTACATATGTACATATGTACATATGTATATATGTATATATGTACATATGTATATGTGTATAGATGTATATATGTACATATGCATATAGGTATAGAATATATGTAGAATGTATATATGTGTATATATGAAAAAACGTATATACGTATATATGTATATATGTGTATATGTGTATTGGAGGGGTCGCACCCACTACCTAAACTACCTTTAGACGAACCACGAGAAATACTCCAAGCCCAAAATGCTGCAAATACCGACAAAAACGATCTTTGCAAACAAGTTTGGATATGGCTCCTTGATATTTGTGGTTGTTGGTTCGTTCTGGACCTCCATCTTCTCGATTATATATATATATATGTATATATATATATATGTGTGTGTGTCTTTGCCACACCTGCCAGTGTTTTCGTAAGATGACCATGAAACACCTCGGAAATGCTAGTTTCTATATCTTGCAAACAAAAAATATTGAGCGCGATAAGCTCCCATACAAACTATATCAAACAAGTCACCAGGGTATTGCTTTTGTGTGACTGTTAAGAATTCTTCCGTGGTCTCACAACGCTTTGCTGCCATTTCTCGGTGAGGTACCAAAAAAACCAAAGTTCAAGGACCAGAATGCTGCAAAACCTCGAGGAGGTACCAAAAAAACCGCAAAAACCAAAGATTTAGAGACTACTGGGAGTTGGGGGCTGTGGGTCTCCGAATCTTTGGTTTTGTTGGTTGCTTTGGTACCTCCTCGAGGTTTTGCAACGTTTTGCTGCCATTTCTCGGTGAGGTACCAAAAAAACCAAAGTTCAAGGACCAGAATGCTGCAAAACCTCGAGGAGGTACCAAAAAAACCGCAAAAACCAAAGATTTAGAGACTACTGGGAGTTGGGGGCTGTGGGTCTCCGAATC